GTTTTTTTATTTAGGATGTTACCAATTAAGGTATCAGAGATAGAAATGAAGAGTTGGCAAACCATGTTTAATAATTTTTGTAAGAGGACAAGAAAGCAAGGGTGAATAAAAATAGATGGTATAAGTCTCAAAAAGCTGGAGGACTGGGGCTTCCAAATTTAAGACTTTGCTATACAGCTAATCAAACAAGATATTTTATAGACAGTATGGTAGGACAAGGAGAGTTGAGAAATGGAAACGCAAGAAGTGGAATGGAAATTGGAAAATGTATTTTTTTAATTAACTAAGAAATGACTGGATGGGGTTGAGAACCCCCTTTTAAAAACTATTTTAAGGATTTGGGCAAAATATAAAGAGAAATTAATGCCAGCTGTATCCCCATTGACCCCAGTGGTGATGATAGAAAAATTCCCTACAAATTTAAAGAAGGAATTGAAAAACGAATTGGGGGAGAAGAAAATATTTCGAATAAAGGATTGGGCAAAAGAAATGAATAGTAAAGATAGAATAAGAGAGGTGTTAAGGGGAAGAAAGATATCGTGGCTTAACTGTATACAATTAGAGAATTGGACTAGGGAGTGGATAAATGAAAATAAAGAATGTAGAGGTTACACAAGATTCGAGAAGATGATTTTAGAGAGAGAAGACAAAGAAGACAATGCAGTTATTAAAGGTGAAACAAGTGAAATTTATAAGATATCAGAAATTGAAGATCAACAAGATTATCTCAAATCAGTATGGGATTATGATTTAACACAACAAATAAGTAATCAGAGTTGGGGTAAGATATGGGATATGCGTATTTTAAAAACTATGTTGGTAAGGATAAAGGAAAATTACTTTAAATTGGTCTGGAGATGGTATCTCACACCTGTAAGATTAAACCAAATAGATAAGAAATATTCAGTAACATGTTGGAGGGGATGTCAAGAGCCAGGTACTTATCTCCATATGTGGTGGAGTTGTAAACAGGTACAGAAGTTCTGGCAACAGGTATTTAAAGAGATAAATGAAATAATTGGGATAAATTTGGAAGGTCTGGCTATAGCACTGTTATCAATGTATGATAAGGTTAGATGCACTCAAGCTATTAAAGATATAATTACAAATTTAATGATGGCGGCAAGACTAATGATAGCTAGAAAATGGAAAACACAAGGCAATTATCAAATAGAGGAATGGTATAAAGAAGTGTGGGATATTGCAATCAATGAAAAGCTAATGTGTAATATTAAAGTTAGAAGGGGGTTGCAAAGTTGAAATGACTTTGCAGAGATATGGGATATAGTTATAGAATTTGCCTTATTGAAAGGGAAAGGATGTACACCTACACAAGAATTATTATATTTTTGGAAAGAAGAATGATTAAGTACAGTATTGGTCCTGGGGGTGGGAGCACGTCTAATGTTTCATTTTATAATTGTAATTACTAAATTTATATGTAAAAGTAATAGAAGTTGGAAACAAGTTATGTTTGTATGTATGTGTATGTGTTTATTGAATAAAAAAAAAAAGAACCCTTGCTTCATTCCATCTGTCACACTTGCCATCTTTTATCAATTTTATTGTAATTTCTTTGTTTGATTGTTGTGAGCCTCTGAAAGTCATTGGGAGTTGGGCAGCATACAAGTTTAATCACTTATTATGTTTCTTCTGCTATGAACCAGAAAATCCAGACAATCTGACTCTCTGAAGCAAAACATGCATACATTTTTGTAAATGTAATGGGCTGCACTCCAGAAAGGATAAAAAAAAAAAAAGCCAGTGTCTCATTTACACTGGGGCCTCCTTACAATCATCAAATGTTTCAATATTTAAGTTAACTCATTTAATGTTATTTTCTGGCACAATCTAAAGTACTGTACTGACCTCAGCTATTAAAACTTTGTGTCAGAAGAAAACACACACGCACGCACACACGCAGTTACTTGTGTTACAGGTTACAACCTATTACCATTTTCCCTTCCAGAATTAAGATCTGAATGTTTCTGAAAGCCAGAAAAAGACAAATTATAAATTAGCTTTGCCTAGAAGAGAAAAAGCCAACTTTAGACTGAAGCTCATCAAGATAGTTTTTCTTCACTAAGGGCCATTTGTCTGAAATTAGGCATAATAAAAAATTCCAATTATTCAACATTTCTAGTCTTTTTTCAACCATTCCAAAGAATGAGTGGGAGACATAAGTCTTTGTTCACATAAAGAATGCAATTTAGCACTGTGCTTGAGTAAGATCACAGAATCAACGCCTTGATTATTTTCTGATTTTAGTAACTAAGAAATAACAGCAACATTTGCTTAGAAAATTTAAATCTATCATTGGTTTTAACACATCCCAAACAGCAGCTTACATACCGTTATTGAGAATTCTGGTGGCTTAAGTATAATTGTTGAGTCAGGCATTTTTACTTCTTTTAGCAACTCTCTCAGAACTGATGTCTGTGATAGGTTCTATAGGAAAAAAATTGTTTCCAAATTTAAAAAGTCAAAAGATAGATATCTCTTATTCATGTCCAAAAGCTGTAACACTGTAATTTATTAAGTAAATTTAACAGACAGGATTTGCTCACCATAGTTTTCCGCATTGTTAGCCTACTTACAGATGGTACTAATAGCATCTAAACAAAGACTGGAATAAAACTTTCTGTGAGTTAATTATATATTAGTCCGTCTTATCCTCATTACATCAACCCATCCCACCAGGTCAGGCAGAGAGGGCAAGTTGTGGAACCCATAAGCAAGAGAATGTTGGCTGGCAGGGCCCAGGAGAAGAGGATTCTTTGCCATTGCCTTCACCCTTTAGAATATTCTCCCCTCAGAGGTACAGTGGGACCGTACCCTCCCAGCTTTCCGGAAAGGATTAAAGATCTGGCTCTGCCACCTTGCATGGGGCAATAGGAGTTCTAATTGTCCCTGGGTATAGTTAGTGCCCCAATGACACTCTCTGAGTTATCTGGCAATTCTCCATCATTCTTGGAATTTATTTATTATTAAGATTATTTTTATGTTGTATTTTAATTGATTTTAGCTCTTCTGTCAATCACCCAGGGTTGCTTTCAACAAGATGGGCAGTGACAAAGTTGATATATAAAATAAATAAATAAATACATATTCAAATTAGCAGGTTTTATATATAAAATGGGATACACATTTAGAATTGTTAAATGAAAGAAAGATGACCCAGCAAAGATTGCATGTTGTTTCTCAAAAGCTACCTCATCAATACATTTAAGAATACACACCATTCCAACACACACAAATAAAGTTCTCTGGGGGTGCTTATCTTTTATAAGATAAGGACTTCCACATTAAAATTAGCTAGAAAACAAAACTAATCAATAACAATATTTCAGGTTTTTACAGTACAATCAGAAGGTATGGCACAGTAAAGTTCTGAGAAATTGATTAATTTATATCACACCTGCAAAACAGCATTAAAAAAACATGTATTTCCCAGGTTGCTGAGACCTTTCACAGTTATTTCTGAATTGCCATTTAATTGGTTTTTATTGTCTTTGACCAAGATTTCTTTTTTCTCCTTCTCTTCCTCATTTTTGTGGTCTTTAAGTTTTTTGCTTTCCAATGGTTTGTTTTCTTCATTTTTAGAAGCTAAAAAATATTTTTTAAAAAATACAATAAATCAAAATGCAATGAAAATTGTTCAGCGTCTCAAGGATAAAATAGAGTATTTGCAAATGTTATTTAAAGCAAAAACAAGTACTATGAAACATATGTAGTTGCCCCTCAAACAAACCAGAAACTAAGTTACTCATAACACAGGCTAGGTGTTTGGATTCATAGATAGCTAATCAAAGCTGATAAATTTACCATTCAGCATAAGACCTTATAGTTAACACAGAAAAAGTAGTATCTTAAAATAAGTCCATCAGGTTTCAATTAGCAGTACCATCCTAAGACACTGTTGTCATTTTAAAATCTAATTACAGAAAGACTTTAGTATATTAATACTGTATACATATGAATACTGTATACATTTATACTACAGTTACTGCCCTACAGTATTATGAATAACTGATAATAAGGATGGATATTTCCTGCATGCCAATAAAACAATCTGATATCCCAGGGATGCTACTTAAAAAGAATAAATAAAGCAGACTACATTAATCTTTAGAAAACATGTCAAACAATTATAGCCTCCCCCATTGTTTTAAGAATCTGGGTCTGAGAGTGGGACAGGAAAGAAAAGAATTGTAATATTTATTTGTCAAATTTATATGGCCACCCATCTCACACAAAGTGACTCTGGGCAGTGTACAATAAAACCAGCAATTAAAACATTCTACAAAACCAATTAAAACCATAAACATAGATAAAACAAGACCACGAGAGGGGAAATATTCCATATAATACAGCCAGCCAGCCAATATCACAAAAGAGCCAGTTTGATGTAGTGATTAAGGCAGAAGGCTAGAAACTGGGGAAACCATGAGTTCTAATCCTGCCTTAGGCAAGAAGCCATTTGGGTGACTTAGAGCCAGTCACTCCCTCTCAGCCCTAGGAAGGAGGCAATGGCAAACCACTTCCAAAATCTTGCCAAGAAACCTGCAGAGACTAGTCCAGGAAGTTGCCAGGAGTCAACACTGACTCAAAGGTACAAAAAACAAAACAATATTTATTGTCCTGAGTCATAAGTAAATATAATTTATGAAGGCAAGAAATTATATGGAGCTTTCAAGTGTGGAATATACAATTACTGCTGACACATGAGGGACTATAGTACTTACAATTCAACTTCAACCTAAAAGTAGTTTTTATAAATTGAAATGCAAGTATTACAGCTCAAATTTTCATTAATTCCTTTCCCCGCAGTCACTAAAGACTACGTTATTCCTGATTTAACTTCTCAGTTAAAAATAGTTATATTTCTAAAATCAGCTGGTTACAAGGTATTAAATTTCTAAGTACTCCCAATATCACTTAATGCAACTGAATGATCATATGTCATCAAGTTTTTTGCCTCTTAGTGATCACATAGATAGTTTTTCTTGAGGATAATGCAACTAGCACATGTTACAAGGAACTGACCTGTATCTGGAATGTTCATACAAGTTTGTTTTCTAATAAAATCCACAAGCTGGCCCAATCGAGTAGAAGAATTGTACTGGATTTCATCATCACACAAGTAGCACCTGTTTAATTTTAAGAAGTCCAGAAATGCATAATTAATAATTTGGCTTACATCAAACTAGAATAGTATGACACTGTAGCAGAACATAATTCACACATTTCTGAAAGGCAAATAAATTATTAAACATGTATTTACTCCAATAGTCCTTAGTAAAATACATCTTATTCCAACCGATGATAAACATTTGATAAACTTACCAGACACACCAGTTCTCCACATTAAGAACCAAACAGTGAGGTTCTGATCTTGGTGTTTCATAGTGTTTTAAGGCATGTTGCTCTTGACAATTTCTGCCACATCCCTGTAATGTAATATCACAGGTATGACACTTTAACATTCATATACCATGTAAGATTATATTTGTTAGGGTAAAACTAAAATTGTTTTAGTTTACAGTTAAATATAACATCTTTCTGCAATTTAAATGTATACTTACTATTTATATGCAGTTCTTTGCAGATTCAAAATTGAGAAAAAAAAAAGAAACCGTGAGTATGGCAAGTTTGGACACCCTGCTAGTTGATATTTTTTACTGTACAACTTTATGAGATGAGGACAATTCCACAACAATAATTTGGGATTGCTGTTCTGTCTTTAACATTCTCCAAGCGGCTGCGTGAGAATTTGAAAATGAAGGTAATTCACTCTTACAAAGCAGGAAAAGGATGCACGCTCACACACTTTTCTAACTAGCAATTTCAACTGTGACAAACTATGAGAAATGGAAGTTACATGGAGCTACTGAAATTGAAGCAAAAAGATCTGGAAGACCATGAATTATCTCTGCTAGAACCTCTAAGTATTACAAACAGAACCTAAGATTATTGCTGAAAAGTTCAGTTGTTCAGAGCACAAGTTGGTTATTTCAGTAAAAAAGTGATTTTATTGAATGATACCTTCAAATCAACCACAAAGTACTTATAAGAAAGATAGGAAAAAAAGGTTCTACGGCCTTTACAGTCCCCAGACTTGAAAATGGCTGACAATCTGGAAGGAAGCTCATATATGCAGTGCTTGTAAGAAGGCCTAAGAATATTTCTGAGCTAGAAGAGCTCTGCAAGGAAATGTGAACAAAATTAAAAACAAGAAGTATAGACATTTAGGTGGCTACAGGAAACATTCAGAAACCATTATATCTGTCCTAGGAGGTATCAGAAAGTACTGACTGAAAGAGTGTCCAAAATTATGCATCTTTCTCATTTACTATTTTCTTGTTTTGAATCTGGAAATAATTGCCCATTCAAATTTACAGAAAGAAGTTATTCTTAGTTTTGTACCATGTAGAGGATGTGTCGTGGTGCTGGGATGTGATCATGTGATCCAAAAACTTTCTTTTCTATTATGTCCTCAACTGGAATAAAACTAAGTCCTAATTTAAAACACTTGCAATATATTTTCCAAGGTTAGTAATAGTAACAGCAGCATACCCTATGGCCACATTTTAAACATAACCATATTGATGGTTTGTCTTCTGCCTTCTTGTTGGATTTTTCATGTGTCTCATTGTCATCTCTTTGGCAATCCTGGCAAGAGTTCAAATCCACAGTTTGCAATGCTTTTTTCAGATAACCTTGTTCCAATCCTTTGCGAAGGTGCTTGCATGCAGGTCCTGTGAGAAATTTTACACAAAATAAAGATCAGTGGTAAAGGGCCTTAAAATACATTATTTAGGGTCCATAAGGTATTAGGGTCCATAATAAAATACACTATTTAGGGTCCATAAATAGATTATTTAGGGTCCATAATTTAGGGTCCATTATTTAGGGTCCATAAGACCAGGTGGCTGTCAGTAGCAAACCTCTGAGAAATTGAGATATAATTTCCTGTAACAATTTGATATGCAAAAGTCCTCATGTAGACCTCTCTCTCTCTCTCTCTCTCTCTCCCCCCCTCTCTCTCTCACACACACACACACACACCCATGGAAAGAAAAGAAACAACCAACCCCCTTCAGGAATCTGATCTATCCACTTTGGTGATGTCTTTGTCAGCGGCCCTTACCTATACCACTTATCTAAAGTGTAGCTCCTGGTGACTGCTGACTCTAGGCCATTGTATATTAATTTGATGCTAATTATCTGAAAATTAAATTACTGAAACATATTGAATTATACCTTAAATATGGGCTGAGACAAACATGTTTACCCATAAATACTGTTTCACTCTACAGAAGTTGAATCTTAGTCAGATAAACATCTTCACAATGCTTCAGATCTTAAGCATTTTGCTAAGAAAGTAAAATCTCCCTCTTCTCCACAGCAGTGCAAGTTAAACATATTATTTGTATATATCAAGCATACCCAGTACATCTGGTGAGACATCTGCAGGAACATTTTTTCCTTTTGTTCGCCTCTTTCCCATTATAGTGATCAAGGCTTTAATTTCACATCAAACTATGGCCTAAAAAGAAACAGACTTTTTTCCAATAATAGTTTAAAACCTACAAATAGCAATGAATGTATTGTATTATATGAAAAGAAAGGATGAAATGTACATGTCTGCTTTCTTTTTAAAGTATTTAGTCAAGGAAACTACAGCTGAACATTATATATACAGTATATCTGTGCAAAGTAAGCTGTGTGACAAACTGCTGTGGAAAATATTCTATCATTTTAATACAGATTCACGGATCTCTCTATAGTACCTTTTTGAATGCTAATCGGATTAAACAAAATGAATTTTAAATTCAGCAATAGTTTAAAGAAAAGTGTAATTTCCTGGGGGCGGGCGGCACGGTTTTGTGCTGGTTCACCTCCTTTCTCTGGGCCAATCCCAATCGGTGGTCATAGGGGGCAAGAAGTCCCATCCTTGGCCCCTCGTTTGTGGGGTGCTGCAGGGTTTGGTTCTCTCTCCGCTCCTTTTTAACATCTACGTGAAACCACTGGGTGAGATCATCCACCATCATGGGATAAGGTATCATCAATATGCGGATGATACTCAATTATACATCTCCATCCCAGGTGAGGTAAGCAATGCCATGACTGTCCTTTTGCAGTGCCTGGAGGCTATAAGGGTCTGGATGGGGAACAACAGGCTTCAGCTGAACCCTGGTAAGATGGAGTGGCTGTGGGTTAATGGCTCCCCTGTATCTGGGACTTTGTTATCTTTGGTGCTGGATGGGGTAGCATTGTCCCAAACAGACCCAGTACAAAATCTGGGGGTCCTCCTGTACTCATGGCTCCTGCTCAAAGAGCAGGTGGCAGCTGTGTCCAGGAGGGCCTTTGCACAACTTCGGGTTGTGAATCAGTTACGTCCTTTCCTGGATCGGGATGCCCTTCGAACAGTCACTCATGCCCTTGTTATTTCCCATATAGACTACTGCAATGCACTCTACATGGGGCTACCCTTGAAGAGTATCTGGAAGCTACAGCTGGTCCAGAATGCAGCCGCACGGGCTATTTTTGGAGCCCCAAGAAAGGCCCAAGTAACACCATAGCTCCGCGAGCTGGATTGGG